AATCGAAACTCTGTTGAGCTTACTGCGGGGCTCAGAGCCACACTTGCAACATCACACCTGTCAAATTCTGATGCGCTGCTTAGTTTAGTAGCTGATTCCTGCCCAAATTGGAGAGGTTAATCAACGATTAATCTCTTGGAAGGTAACTCCGCAACAAGCTACAATCTGACTTGTTCAACCCTTCCCTAAACCCTAAAGCCTGTCCATTTGCGGACCCGAATATAGTGCCCTAAACAGCTGTTTAGGATCCTTATATAAGGACCCCAAAATAAGGTACCCTAATTTTCGGAAAGTCCCATTTGTTGTTGCAAGACGTATTTCAACTCTTCTCTCTGGTTCTTAGTAGGGAATGGGGGAATGGATCCCTATGATAGTCCCTTAAGGTCCCCTATAGTAGTCCCAATACCCCATTCCCCCATTAACCCTAAACCCTAAACCCCTATAGTAGTCCCCCATTCCCTACTAAGAACCAGAGAGTCTTCGGCAGCCGAGGCTCTTCTTCGGTGGTCACGCGCTCCAGCGAGCTCTGGATGTCCTGAGATCCATCGGTGAGACTTCCCCGCCTGGCTCTCAGCACGGTTTAGAGTTTAGGGTTTATAGGGTTTAGGGTTTAGGGTTAGAGTTTAGGGTTTATAGGGTTTAGGGGGTTAGAATTTAGGGTTTAGGGTTTAGGGGTTAGAGTTTAGGGTTTAGGGTTTAGGCTTAGAGTTTAGGGTTTAGGGGATAGGCTTTAGGAGTTTGGGCAAGGGGGACCAAGGGGGCCGTGTATGGGGGGACCCTAAACGGACCCTATGTTCCGGATCCTGCTATGTCGGTTCAGTATGGGACCCGCTTTTGTCGGGTGAACTTTCTTTGCTGGCAAATCTAAAGCAGGCTGGGTTTTCTCACAAAAGCCCTACATTCGCATGGCTGATCCGAATCCTCCTCATCTCCGAACCCCTACACCCTAAACCCTAAGCCCCTAAATCCTGAACCCCTACACCAAAAAAAACAAAACGGAACCCTAAACCCTAGACCCGAGGCCCTATAACCCTAAACACTTCACCCCCAGCCTAATCTTCATCCTCCCACACGTGGATCCCTTTGAGGTTCATACTCCTGGACGAGGCGCCAAAGTGCCCCTTTGCTTCCATGGGGGGTGTAGGTTTATTTATTATAGGCTACTCCGGTAGAAGTGGCATTACGTAGAGTAGTTGCATGCGCTTTGCGGCTTTTCTTTCGTTTCAGGGTTTTGGCTGTAGGCTTTTTGGGTTTAGGGTTTGTGGGTTCAGGGTTCCGAGTTTAGATTTTGTTGGTTTTGTGCATTTTTGGGTGAAGCCTGTTCGATTTCGGGTATATAGGGGACAGCCCTTCTTCTGGGTTCGTGCTTTAGTACCTTTAAGGAAGCCGAAATGCCGAAACACACGGGGGTTTGCTCAGCCGAAAGCCCTGCATGAGCCCCTGGAAGCTTCAAAAAGGGTTTAGGGTTTAGAGTTAAGGGTTTAGGGTTCAGAAAGCAACAAGAACCCTGAAATCAGGAAAACACCAGCAGTTGCCAAGCTCGGAAAGAACAAACCCTGCTACAACTGCAACTAGTGTCCCTGCGGCGTAGGACGCCAGAGCTCATTCTTGATCTTGGTTATACTGGTGGCGTAGAGCTTTTAAACCCTAAGCCCTAACCCTAAACCCTAAAACCCTAAAACCTAAAACCCCAAACCCTAAAACCCTAAACCCTAAAACCCTAAAACCCATGGGCCCATAGGGTAGCATATTCCTCAGTAATGGTGTGGCGGGTTTTGCATGACCTGGGCGAAGCCGGGATTCTTTTAGGGTTGAGGGTTGGGGAGTGCAGGGCTTCGGGGATTTGAGGGCATTTTCGGAGTGGGGGTTGGGGAGTGCCTTCAAGGCGATCCTGAGCTTCTCGCCATTACTTGCTTGAGAGCGCTCCCCTCTCAACCTGGAGTCGGGGTAGGTACCCGTAGGCCCCTAAGTAGTTCCTTTTTGGCATGACCTCATCGGTTCTAAATATAAACCATAAAAGGGAACTACTTAGGGGCCTATGGGTAACCTCTAAGCGTCTTGGGGTTTGTAGAAGTACTCCTGCCGTCAATCATTGCTAAAGGCAACGTAAGTACAAGAAAGAGTAGTCGGAGAACGCACCTGTAGGACCGTGTTCGCAGGGTTTTAGAAGTGGCTAAGAGCCAGCAAAATTAACTTCATCGATTGGCTTCCACTGTTCCCTCTATTGTCATTGTGCTATGTTCCTACTGGTATTATTGTTGTACTGGGATCATCCTCATTGCCATTCGCAGTCTCAAGACTAACGAATTCAAACTTCTTACGAGTAGCCATCACCCTAAATCCTAAACCCTAAACTCCTAAGCCCTAAATCCTATTCTGATCAGTCAGAGCATACGAGCAAAGTGCCTGAGGTGAGGATTTTCCGAGCTTAGACTTCTTATGGGTGCGGACTCCAAGAGCAGAACTTTGGGGGGTGGGTGTGCTGTTGGTCTAGGGTAAGGGTTTAGGGTTTAGGGTTTTGGTTTTGGGGGTGGAGGGATGAGGGCAAGGGCTTAGGGGTGAGGGTTTGGGGTTTGAGTTTCAGGGCTTTGCGTCTTTGGGGAAGGGGGGCGGGTTGTAGGTTTAGGACCTTGGCCTTGGATTCATACCTTTGATCTTGATGCTTGGGGGGAATGATAACTAGGGATTTGGGGACTCCGGGCTTTGTTTGCATTTCGGCAGTTCCAAAAAAGCAATCGCCGCGACACACGCGCCCGCGTCGGTGGCACTGTCAGCAACGACAGCCGCAGAAGCACAGGAAGTTGCTGGTGCAGGGTTGCTTTAAAGGTCGATTCAGCGTTTAGGGTTGACGGATTTGTGTTTGGGAGCTCGAGGCTTCGAGGTATAGGGATGAAGGCTATGGTGATGATCATCATCATGATGATGACGAGGATCATGAGGGGAATGGTAGTCAGGAGTATTCTGGTCGTGGCTAGCTGAACAGTTAAACCAGGCTCCTGTGACTCAGTTCTCTTCATTGCAGGTTAGTTTCGAAGATATTGAGGGTCGGTATGCAAGAGAGATCACCCTGATACCCCCCCAAAAATACTCTTGCATGGTGGGAGGCTTCTCAAACAATGGAACTTGGCCTTGGTATTGATGCAGCATTAGAGCTGCGACTAGGAAGTCATTTTTAGGGGTTTTGGGCTTAGGGTTTAGGGCTTAGGGATTACTTGTTCCAGGTTGCTCACAACAACCTCGGCAACAAGGGCCCGGACTATGGAGAAGAAGGCCTAGTGTATAGAGTACGACGCCTGCATGCATCTAAGCATTGGTTCTCCCCATTGTTTGACGGCCTTTGGGTTTAGGCTTTAGGGTTTAGGGTTTAGGGATCTGCAGCACACGCACAGTAGCGGCTACACTCAAGCACCTTCGAGCTTCGTGCCGATGCTACCCCCGGTCGCAGCCCAAAGGCCATCAGGCCCGAACTCTGTCCGTTAGCATCGTCGGTGTCTTTGTCCTCGCAGCACGAGATGGTGCCAGCTACTGGCACGACTAGTACTGAAGCGACTAGTAGTACCAGTTGTGCAAGTCAGTAAGCAGGAAGTAGCAAGCGTCAAGTTGCCGCCATCAGCAAGGTCTTGAATAATCGTAATAATAGTAGTTTTAGAACCAGCATGAGAGTACTAGTCTATATGGTGATAGAATGTGATAGGCCGGGGGAGGTGTAGAAGAAGTGGTGCTGCCCTGAGCGGCGACAATGTTAGCAGCAAGTGCAGTCGTGGTCACCTACGTCAGGGATGTAGCTGACTTCTCCATCAGGCATGGATTCGCTTGCCGGATAGCTGATTGCGATGTAAATGCTGCTGCCTTCCTAGTCAGTTGTGACGCACTGCTGACACTGTGATACGCTATGTGTCGTGGTCCTACAAGGACACGTGCCCCATACCCGATCGTTGCTCATGTAGTTGTGGATATTTACGATGCTATAACCTATAACCAATCAGAGGCAGTGCCATCACCGTTGCTGTCCTTAACTACTCACCAAGTCCATCCTGGACAATGCAGTGTACTCAGAAGCCGACGATCCTGTTCGACAGCTCTCTGAAATGCAAATTGGCTCATGAGGAAGAGCGCCTCGAAAGGTAGCCGGTGAAGCCGACGCGAATCGTATGTTCAAGACATAATATTGGCTTTCCTCCGGATAGCAGCTTAGTGGAACACCCCTTTCCCGCCTTTCCCGTAGTAACGCTGCGAGGCACTGATTCCTAAATCCTAAAAGCCCTCAACCCTAAACCCTATACCCCTACACCCTAAACCTCTGAACTCTAAACCTTAACCGTAAGCCATTCGTCGCCAAGGACACTACAACGGTCGGGAGATGGAAATGGTGTAGCTTGGCTTGTCGGAGCAGAGAAGGAAAATCTCCAGATGCCGTCCATCAGCAGGGTGACTGCCCTGCGCCACTGCGAAGCTTAGGAGAACTTGTCTTGTCTTCTAGGGTTCTGGGCCGAACCCTAACCCCCCAGTGCCCCCCCAGGTACCTACTATATCGGGTACTAGAGCCCCTAAGGCCCTATACAGTAGGTACCTGAAGGGTTCAGGGTCTAAGGCTTTACTTAGGGTGATTTTGTGGGAAACATCCAGCTCTGAGACCTTCTTGAGATTACGGATTCCCTGGGGCCCCTATAATCCCAAAGGGTCCTAAGTACCTATATGGTAGAATGTAGGGTTTCTATATTAGGAATTACTATCATGATTTAGGGAGGTATTCCCCATAACAGTACCTAGGACCCTTTGGGAATGTATAAGGGAGATCTGAAGGCTGCATCCCTCACCCCCAAGTCCCGCCGATCCTGTCGGCATTGTGCGTGGAGCGCTGGTAGCCTGACGGAAATCTGTGTTTTAAATAGGGGCGATCTCTTGAAGGCTCTCATCAACTGTTTGTAGGCGAAGTGTCATCTGGGCATACTCAGTTTTATAAGCAAGTTTAACACCCCCCCCCCTTAAGGTTCAATGCGATGAACGACTTCCGGGAGCATGACAGCAAGATGTTCGGGATGCACGGCAAGTATGGGTCTCTCAATGTGGTCCCTCGGCTTGACAACGATTTAGGGTTTGCTTTTTGGAGTTCAGGGTTTAGGATGGTTTATAGGGTTCCGAACGCTACAGCCTTATGGGGTTGCTTGAGGGATCTGTGTTATCTTGGAAGTGTGTGTTTGTCTCTTAAGGGGGATATTCCAAGCTCGTGTTTCTAGGTCCCATCGAAAGGAGCCTGCACAATTGCCAATATTGTTCCTAGGGTTCCCCTGTTGTTCCTGGGGTTCCTTTCTATGATTTTAGAAGAACCTGTCCCAAAGCCCGGTCTGAGTAGGCCCCTATATCATAGAACCTTCACAGGTTGAAGAGATGCCCCATGCCCAAAGCTCATGCCAGGAAGCATATCCGGAGGTCTGGATAATATGCACATCCACATCGTTAGATGTTGAAGGGAAGCCAAATCCCAACTGAACCCCGGAACCTCATAAGATACAGTAGGGGCTCTCAAAATTGCAATGGGGTGTTGGGGTATATTGACCCTAAACACTTGAACCCCAAAGCCTAAACCCCTAAACCCCTAAACCCTAAACCACCAAACCCTAAACCCCTAAAGCCTCGACCCTTGAACCCTGACGTCCTCGAGCTCCGCTTCCTAAACGCCAGAACACACCGTTCCCCTCCCCGAAAGGAAGGATCGTGAACTTCTGTCTCTGTGTGTGTGTGTGGGTGCGGGTTCATATCTATGTGTATATGTATGTATATATATATATGAACATATATATGTGTGTATATGCATATATACTCACACGTAAGTCTGTATGTATGCATGTATGTATGCGTATATGTATATGCATATGTATATACTACAAGTAACCCCATTCTTATTTTGCAGACCCCTATGTCATAGAACCATTCTAGATCCCTGCACAGATGCCTGTGAGGGAACCCTCTAAAGGAAGCCTATTCTAGTTCTTAAGGTCTTCAACACCTTGGACCCTAAACTCTAAACTCCCTAACCCTAAACCCTAAACCCTAACCCTAAACCCTAAACCCTGAACAACAGAGACAGACTCAGAGAGTGTCAAGGCGGAGCTCTCGCAAGCGGATCTCAGGGTAACCTTCCGCGATCATCTGACGAAGCAGCCCATCATCCTCGCCGTCTTGGCCGCAGTTGAGGGTTTAGGGTTTAGGGGTTTCGGGTTTAGGGTTTCGGCAAGTTTAGTACCCTGAACCCTAAACCCGTCTTGGCCGCAATTCGGGAAATTTAGCTTTTTTGGGGGTTTAGGAGTTGAGAGGTTTAGGACTTACAGTAGGGGCTTAATGTTTGGGCTTTCGTTAGTAGCAGATAACCTTTAACTTTTTGGGGGTTTGTATATTCCTACCATACTTTGAGAGGTTAACCTGTTGGGATTTATAAAATCCGACCATACTTTGAGAGATGTTAACCTTTTGGGGTTTTATATAATGCTTCTATGCTTTGAGAGGTTAGCCTTTTGGGGTTTATATAATCCTAGCAGAATGACAAGGTTGACCGTTTTTGGGTTAGGGTGCTCAGCCCCTTAGTTCCGGTTTAGGGTGTTAGGGTTCAGGGTTTTAGGGTTTTAGGTTTTAGGGTGTTAGGGTTTAAGGTTGTAGGGTTTAGGTTTGTAGGGTTGCAGGGTTTTAGGGTGTTAGGGTTTAGGGTTGTAGGGTTGTAAGGTATAGGGTTGTAGGGAGTGTTCGGGGCTCTTGGAGTTGTGATTTTTGGCATTCCGGAAGGGGCCCTCATGCAAACCGCCTCTCGCTGTCCGGCTCAACGAATATGCTTCCTTATTAGAGACCTCAGGATGTCGAAGAAGGATATTCTCATTGAGGGTGTAGGGTTTAATTAGGGGCACCATCTTTGCCCATCGCCTGTTTTATGGAATGGCTTTTTGGTCCTAAGCCCTACACCCTAAACTAAACCCTGAACCCCAAACGCTAGCCCTGCCCCAGAGTGGACTTGTCTGCGAGTTGGCCTGTATGAGGCTTGCAGCACGTCCTCTCCCCTAACCTACCATGGAACCCTTAGGATTTTAGGATGCAGGGTTTAGGGTTTAGGAAAAGGCCGTGGCAAGTGTACGCAGGACTCCTTAGGAGAAAAGGTGAGGGTATCGAGGCGTAGAAGTTTTGGGCTGTAGGTAAGCCTGCCAGGACCACGTGGCGATGACCTTCTACGACATCGATCAGGGCCCGTCGTCGATGGGCATCGAAGAGGTTGCGCCCGTAGCTATCTTTGGTTTTCGACTCTTGGGTGCTGCTTTATAGGGATTTTGCTAATCTGCTTTTGTTCTTAATCTGTGGGGTCTCTAGCGTTTTCCAAATAGAGCTCCTGCCTGCCACTATAAGGGGACTGGAGTGAGTTCGGGATTACGTGTCCACGTGATGACGGGTTATAGAGTTTCAGGGATTCGGGTGGCGGGTGTGCAGTGTTCGGATTCAGGCTTTGAGTTTATGGTGCATTAATTTAGGGTTTAGAGTTTGCCCTAACCCCGCACGTCCCCAGGTACCTACTATATAGGGTACTAGAGCCCCTAGGGCCCTAGTTAGCAGGCACCTGGAGGGTTAGGGTTATGGTAAGATCTTGGTGAGCCCTAAACCCTAAACCGGGTTGTTTTTGGTCAGAGCTGCCGGCGCATACGGAAGCGTGAGTCTTTCAGATTCGAAGCTGCGATGGCCCTAAACCCTAGGCCATAGACCTTCTTTCAACCCCCTTGCAGGTAGGGTTTAGGGTTTAGGGTTAGGGCTTAATTAGTGCTTAGAGCTTAGGGTGTAAGTGTAGGGTTTAGGCTTCGGGTTTACGGTTTAGGGTTTGGGAACGGCTGCGGCGTGTGTTGCTGCAAAGCGGGAATTTGCGTAACCTGGACCAATTAAAGCACCCATGCTCGTGGCAGGTTGAAGTCGAGGGCGACTGGACCTTGGCCCTTGTGTCGCCGCTTCGTCTGCGCACTTGGATGCCCCCCCGAACCCCACAGCGCTAGGCGAAAGCTGCTGGTTCACATCACAGGTCCCTCCGCAACTTGAATCCATGTACCTCAGGGTTTAGGGTTTAGGGCAACCCTAGACTTAGGGTTTAGGGTGTAGGGTTCCGGGGAGGGCGTTGAGCTCATCCGTAAACCCTACCACACCCCTAACCTCCCAGGTACCTACTATAAAAAGCCCTAGAGCCCCTAGGGCTAGGTAGGTACCTGGAGGGTTAGGGTACAGACATCTACCAAAGCCTGCGACCCTTCACCAGAAGGCCCTGATCCCCCAAAGCAACAGCGCCCGAAAAAGTTGAACTGCCCTAACAGAGCCCTCAACCCTAAACCCTAAATGCCTAAACCCTAACCCTAAACCCTAACCCTAAACCCTAGGGTTTTGGGTTTAGGGTGTAGGGTTTTAAACCCTAAACCCTAAACCCTAATAAACCAAAGTAAAGCTCAAAGCCCGAAGCACTCAAAGGCCCAGAACCACAAACCCTTAAACCCAAAGCCCTTAAACCCCTAAACCCCTAAACCCCAAAGCACCCAGAGGCCCAGAACCCAAGAAGGACCAAGCATGTAAGTCATCTCTTCCCTGCACCTCTCTGCAGATGGATGGTCCAAAGAGGGGGTTTTGGGGTGTAGGGCTTTGGGTTTAGGTTTAGGGTTTAGTGCCTAGGGGTTTAGGAGTTTAGGGTTTGGGGATTTAGGGTATAGGGGCCTTAAGTATAACTAGAGCAGGGTTTCGGGATATATTATGCTAAAACTATAACAAGTAACCCCAAAACACTATCGGTACTTATTCCGGCTTCTACATTTTGGTGTTAGGGTTTAGGGCCTTAGTGCTCAGGGTGTAGGGCAGGGTTAAGGGCAGGGTAGAAACAGCTCTGTGAAGCAGCGCCAGCCGAATTCCTGGGAGTGTGCGGTTGTTAAAGATTGGATTTTTAAGGTGTATTGAAACTACGTGGTGCAGCGAAAATGGGAGGTATGCGAGGTTTCTTGACATTTGCGGCTTTCTGCTGGATTCTACTGGGTTCTGTGTCGGCGTTTTGTACTGAGTGGAGCTCTCAAGTATCCATGGTCTTTTGGCAGGATTCAAGCTTTTGGGGTTTGGCCGTAAAGCCTAAACCATCCGAAGCCCTACACCCTAAACCCTAAATCCCTAAACCCTAAAACGGCCCTAAACCCTAAACCTAAACGGCCCTAAACCCTAAACCTAAACCATTATCATCCCTTAGAGGGCAATCTTGCCGAGGAAAAACAGCGGCATCAAAGTGGACCATTCGCCCCATCTTCGGAAGATCAGGCTCCTCCCTAAGAGATTCAGGGTTTGGGGTTTAGGGATTCTGGGTTTAGTTAGGGTTTAGGGCTTATGGCCGTGCATCCTAAAATCCTAAACCCTAAACCCTAAATCCTACACCCAAGCATGAGATTTGGGTTTGTAGGTTTGATGGGTTTGGGGCGCTGTGGTTTTTGTGAGGCGTAAGGTTTAGCTTAACTACTACTTGCGGTGCTATAGGGGCCTATTTAGAGTTTAGGGTTTAGGGTTTACTATTTCAAGTTCCTCATTATAGTAGACCCTAGCATGTGCTGCAGACGATGACAGGATGTTAACCGCTGCAGTCAGGGCATTTCGCAGGGGGAGAAGGGCAGGACAAGGGCACGGTTGCCAGAACTCTGGGCGGCTTGCGCGAGTTGGGCTGCTAGAAAGCATACTACACTATCATACATATAAATTTAAACCCTAAACCCTAAACCCTACATTATACTAGACTTTACACTACTCTCCGTACTATTCTTTGCTATGTTCCTTTCAGGGCACGGCCGAGCAGCGTAGAACCTTTGGCCTCGAAGCCGTTTGGGGCTTGGGCTTTGGGGTTTGGGGTTTCGGGTTTAGGGTTTGGGGTTTGGGGTTAGGGTTTGGGGTTTCGGGTTAAGGGTTTGGGGTTTGGGGTTTAGAGGTTGGAAGGCCTTGAATACGTAAGCTCTAAGCTCTACAGAACAGATCCCGCGAATCGTTCATTCCCAAGCCCAGTCTGCTTTTCAAAGGTCAAATGTTTGAAGAGAAGTATATCTGTACTTTCATATGATAGACTATGTCACGTGGGGCTTAGGATTGAGAGTTCAGGGTTCCCCCCAAAAGGCCGCGAAGTTATCAGTTCTAGTCTCCCCAACAAGCCCGTAATATCGGGGGTCGGAAACAGTGTTTCTTAGGGTTCCCTCACGTAACGTGATTATGGTACCGTTCCCCTCCCAAATGGGGGCTAGCCTAAAGGCCCTAAACCCTAATCCTTAAAAGGCACATTATACTGCTTAAGCCCCCCCCAAAAAAATAATAAAGAACGGCCTCTACTTAGTTGACCTCGAACCTGGGTTAGCGGTTGAGGGCGCAGGGTTTGAGTTTAGCGTTCCTGCCTTTTTGGGGGGGGCTAGGATGTAGGGTTGAGGGTTACCCTAAACCCGAAACCCTCAACCCCGGAACCCTAAACAAAAAATACCCATACCCTACACGCTAAAACCCATACCCTGAACCCCAAAGCACCCTAAACCCTATCCCAGGTTCTCCTCCACCATGGAGGGCATGGCGATGGACAGCCCCATGGATCCGATGACTCTCACCATGGTCCAGTTCGAGAAGGCGCCCGAAAACCCAAGGGTTGAGGCTTTTGGAATTAGGCGAACTATAGGGTTTAGGGTTTAAGGTGTCGGGTTTTAGGGTTTAGGAATTAGGGTCTGGGGTTTGGATCTTAGGGTGTAGGAATTAGGGTTTAGAGTTTCCGTATAGAGTTTTGTCAGGATTCATGCTTGTAGGTGGTGTAGTTCCTTTTCGGGATTACCTTATAGGATTCTATATATAAACCATAAAAAGGAACTACTTAGGGGCCTATGGGTATACGCTACGTGTGTCGGGAAGGCCCCCGAGAGTTCAAAGATAGAGGGGGCCCTTGTGGTCTGAGGCGGATTCTGCATAGTGTTGCCTCACTCTTATAGTGCATATATATATATATCACTCTTATAGTGCATATATATATATACATATATATATATGTGTATTGATAGATAGATAGATAGATAGATAGATAGATAGACATATTATATATATACACACACATAGGCCTAGCAACATGTGTATATGTACACACAAACACACTTCTATAGGGATTGTGCATTAGGACCCTGATAATCAGAATAGGGTTTTCGGGCCTGCAGTAATGTAAAATTTAACCTAAGAGGCCATACCTAAAGCCTTTAAGGAATACTAGTACTCTGACTCGTTTTCCGGTGTTCAGACGTACATTGAACACTCGGAGCTCGAAAAAAAAAACCTCATGGCCCAGAGTCCTTGGATTTTAGGGTTCAGGGTTTCTGAGTTCGCTAGAATTTTGGACTGCGGGGTGTACGGTTGTTTTCGGTTTCTAGAATCGTGTGTTGTATTTTAGGCTTAAGCTTTAAGGCCTTCGGGCCTAAGGTTTGCTAGGTAGTCTTGTTCCGTTTGTGTTCTGGGGTTCTTGCAAACGTGACCAGTGGGACCAACAAATCATGGAATGCTCCTTAAATGGGGGCTGTGTGGGAACGTAGCCCTAAGCCGTAGACCCTTCAACTTAGCCGTTAGGGTTCGCAGGCTCATGTTCATCTACTCAAAGGGTCCATGTACCCAAATAGTATATATACTTTGGCCTTACAGTAGTCCCTATATAGGTACTTTGGGGCCAATGTATATACTATATGAGTACATGGACCCTTAGGGCTAGGTATCAACTATAAGGGCCTTGCTTACGTGCTCAGCTTTGTTTGCTTTCGGGTTACGGTCTCTTTAATCCACTCCTCACAAGAGCATAATGTGTACATCATCATATACATCTATGGTTTGCTTACCTCGTAAAAGCGAGTCGACTCGAAGTCCAGGACGCCATGCATCTCCGCAAACCATGATATGCGGGTTTCCGGGGCTCAAATCTGAATCGCCAGTGTAGACGACATAGGACATAGGATGATGTGGGGGCAGATGTACCCTCCCCCCCCAGTGTGTAATGATCCGTCTGAAAACCATGATTACGTATATACTTTGAGAAGAATGAAAACATTCCAGCATGAGTTCGTCACGATCAGACACTTCCGGTACTCATCAGTGTCCAGCCCACAGCAACCAGACAAGCCTCTATCTACTGCTAAACTTGGTCTCGAGGTCTTTTGGACACTTGGAGCCTCAGAGTATTGTCTGCCATCATTTCCATCATCAGCACCATTATCTCCATCACCAGCACTAGCATCATCACCATCATACCCATCCCCATCATCATCATCATCATCACCATCATCCACGCCATTCACCATCAGTATCTTCAGCACCATCAGCACAGATGAGAACCACAAAGCCTTTATCCTGAACCCTGAACAAGGCAGTGACCTTGAAGTTCGAGCACACCGACTCCTTTAGGGACTCTTGGCTTAGAGTCTTAGAGGGGGCCGGACTTCTTCAGTGCTTCTGTGCCGCACAAGCTGGCTCTACAGTCCCAAAGCCCCAGACACCACACCCGGGCCTTGAGACCTGCCCTATGGCATAGTCTGGCCGCCTGCAGTATGCTAATTAGGGCATACTACCCTTTGCATAGATTGTTATAGCTTGGTATTTGGTAAAGATGTAGGTTCTGGAAAAAGTAGTGCGTGCAAGAGCTCGATTTCTGCCCCGGAACCTTTGGCCCTCTAACACCCCAAGCGATAGACCCGAAACCCAACCTGAAACCCTACACCCGAGAACCCTTTTTGCAGGGAGCAGGCTCGTAAGAAGCCTGGTTATTTATTGGTTTCCTTCTTGCACAGGCACATCCATGGGCCCAGCATGATAACGTCACCCAGAGCTCATCCGTTCCTCAGGGCATTCATGTGCCTTCAATGTCCACCCAGGCCCCTTAATTAAGGAATGCACCTTAAATTAGAGGGGCCTTATAGCATGGTTAAAGGTGTATTCCTTAGTATCCGGTTCTCTGGGTGCTGGGACTCAGAGCATAGACAGATGGTGGCACACGGCCCAACAAGACTTCTTTCCGCGTCTCTCCATGCTTCGAGAGATGAACCCTAAACCTCTCTTTAGATACCTCTTTACTTCCGTCTAGCTGCCACTTGCTCAAGATTTCATTCGGGTTTTGGCTGCCCTAAACCCTGAACTCTATTGTTAATTCCTCCTCCTGCCCTGACTTGTAAGGTTTTGGTGCCAAGCTCCTCACATGTGCACCAGCGCCGAATTTTCATGGACATTTATGCATGACAGTACCCTAACCCCCCAGGTACCTACTATATAGGGTACTAGAGCCCGTAGGGCCCTAGATAGTAGGTACCTGGAGGGTTAGGGGTGCGCAGTCCGAATTTCGCAAACCCTAAGCCCTAAACCCCTAAACCCTAAACCCTTAAAACCCTAAACCCCTAAAAGCCCTAAACCCTTAACACCCTAAACCCCTAAACCCTTAAAACCCTTAAAACCCTAAACCCCTAAAAGCCCTAAACCCTTAACACCCTAAACTCCTAAACCCTTAAAACCCTTAAAGCCCTAAACCCCTAAAAGCCCTAAACCCGAGCTGGCAGCCAGGTCCTGCAGCACAGGAGTCGAAAAGTGCCCAAAACCCAAGCGAAAGGCATGCCCCAAGCATGTGGGTAGTTTTCTAAAGCAGCGTCCTTTTGGGTCCCAAATAAAAAAGGACCCCTAAAAGGGATCCTACTTTAGAGACTTACGCATTGGGTTTGCAGGCTTTTTCTGCGTCTGCGATCTTTTAGGAGCCCTTTAAGGAAGCCCCTCAGGAGCCTTCAAATGCTACAGACCCCTGATCGCCAGCCTAAACAAACCCCCAACAACCCTAACCCTCGAAACCCTAAACCCCTGAACCCCTAAACCCCTAAACCCTTAAACCCTAAACCCTAAACTGGCCCTAAGCCCCTAAACCCGAAAACCCTAAACGGGCCCTGAACCCTGAGCCGATTGGGTCTCAGGTGCGCTTGGCGGTGCCAGCCTCAGCCGATTTTAAGGGAAGGATGTTTTTGCCTTTGACCTTTTTGGGTTTTAGGGTTTAGGTTTTAGGGTTTAGGGTTGAGGGTTTAGGGTTTAGGGGTAGCTTTCTTAGAAAACACATGGGTAGTTTTCTAAACTAGGCTCCCTTTTTGAGTCCCCAATATAGTACGGCACCCTTATACAAAAGGAACCCTAATTTAGAGGACTACCCACATTGAAGCCCTGCATTCTCTCATAGGATGTTTGCGCTTCAGAAAACTACTGGAACAGTCGAGGTTTTAGGGTTAAGCCCTAAACCCTAAAACCTAAACCCTAAAACCTAAACCCTAAACCCTAAACCCTAATCAGAGGTTGGGTGGGCTCCAGGTTTTTAGCTTTTGGGCGCCGAGGTTTAGGTTCGCAGGCTTTGGTCGCAGGGTTTGGGCTTTAGGGTTTGTTTTGTTGTTCCCGTTGCAGGGTGAAGGTTGGTTTAGGGTTGTAGGGTTTAGGGTTTTAGGTTTTAGGGTCGCAGGGTTTAGGGTTGTAGGTTTAGGGTTGTAGGGTTTAGGGTTATAGGGTTAGGGTTGTAGGGTTTAGGGTTTAGTGCGTTTAGTGCGTAACCCTAATGTTCGAGCGAATCGTCCCTGCAAAGGGGTTCGCCAGGGTTCTGCGCCTTGAATATGTTGCTGCCCCAGACCTTCCAATATCCTTTAACTCAGGAATGCAT